CTCAGCAAGGCCTTCATCGAGACCATCGAGACGTTCGACAGCTGAGCCTCTCTCCCCTTCCGATATGTACACGTCTTTATACTTTTGTCACGTTTCAGAGCTTTTTTGTACTTGTGTCCGATAGCGTTTTCCAGTACCTGTCTTGTCTCGGTCTGGTCTGGAACTGCGCGCTTGCAGTGGTCGTGAGCCAGCACCGCTCTGTTGGGGGCTGTCAATGATTGACACGACGGTCGTATGCTTCTGCGCTGCAGGCTGATGGGGCAATCGAGGCTGATACCTGGTGTCTGAGCGTAAGATGCTTTTTGGCTGGTGGCTATTGTACACAAGTCTCCCCTCGGTGCCCTGACGAGGGCGGGGTGAGACTAGAAGGCTGTTTTGTTACATGTGGGTGTAGAAGTCGGGCAACTGTGTAGGTTGCGAGGATGTCGGCTGCCGTGCGGGAATACACCGAGTGGAACCAACTTCGTTCCGTCGTCTGATCCGGCAATCAGCGAAAGATTTGCACGAGCACTGTGATGGAAGCAACAGGCAGACGCGTCGGATCAATGTGCTTGCAGTCGACACCTGACGTCGGCGCGAGCTTTCGTTGTGCTGCGGATTGATGTTTGCGATGTAGTGGCTCGAGTCCTGTCTAGATCTGCTTGGACAATCGCGCCAGGTGGTAGTTGATAGTCGGCTTGGAAACACCGCCGCGAGGTTTCTGATCGAGTGTCGAGAGCGGATACGTGTTGCAACTATGGTCAGCAAAGCGTGTATCGTCGTGATAGATATGGTCCGAGGAGGAGCCACTTACCCTGCTAGCCATGCATTCCTGGAGGGAGCGAGCGGAGTCCTTGCACGCGCCGATGTTGTTGATATCGTTGGAAGATGCCCAGCACGCAAGCATGGTGGCAAACTCGGCGGCGCAAGGAGCGGCGGCCGCATCCTTCTTCGGCCTCACCTTGAGCTTGTTGAGCTTCATCGTTGGCAAGAACCGGGTTCGGTGAGTGATGGTGAGAAGAAAGCAGTCGGGTGGAGTTGGTGCTGCTCAAAATTCCCAAAGCTGGGACCCGGCGACTTTTTTTATCGGCCGGGAGTGGTGAGCGTAGTAAGAGGCGCGGACCCGAATATTGCATTTGGACGTAGAGGCGTGAGCTGGAAGGTAGCCTTGGCCAGGGTGGCCGCCGCTTTGGGCGAAGCGAGGCCAAGGGCAAGGCAAGGCAGGGCAGCGCAACCCCACCTTTTGAGGCAGCGAATGGGAGCGCGAGCGTGCCGGCTGCCACCCAACTTCTTCTAACACCGCCCGAGCCAGCCATCCCTCTCCACACGACCCTGCCGCCGTCCTCATCACCGTCATCACATCCGGCACCGCTTGCACGTATATATCCTGATCAATATGGTACGTACGGCTCCTCATGCTGCTTGTCGCAGCTGCACTGTCTCAGAGATCGGCACTGGAAGCAATCGCTAACATCGACCGCGAATCTCGACTACAACCATTCCCATCGCTCCTCATGGCATCTTGACGACGGCCTCGGATCACTCGCTCACGGAACGCACGCACACGACGCACACAAACATGCATCGGCATCCACTCCCGCACACTGCGAGCGATACGTACCTTCCTAATTGACACCTGCTCCCATCTGGATCTCATCCGGCGCATGGACGTCACAACTCGAACCGGAATACGATGGTACTCGCCCTGCAGTCTGACGCAAAGGCAACTGGCGCACAGCCCAACCTCGCCGCCCTGGCGAGCAAAAACTCGCAAGCCGTCCGGTAAGTGGCCGCGCCATACCCGACCTGGCCATGCACATCGACATCGCGAGAAGCAACGCTGACCATTCCCCGCCCAACTTATCCTCCGACGACTTCAACCGACATGTCGATCCGACCTCCTGCATTTCGACCGCTCTTCGATGAAACCACAGCCGACGCGCCGCACAGCAGGCTGCCAACAAGCCCAACTCGCCACGAGCGGCGGGAGCGGGTGGCTCGTCGTCGACCATGATGCGCCTGTACACGGACGACAGCAAGGGTCTCAGCGTCGACCCCGTCGTCGTTCTCGTCCTCTCGATTGCCTTCGTCTTCTCGGTCGTGCTCCTTCACATCATCGGCAAGTTCATGAGGTGGTTCTCCAAGTAATCAGTGCAAGGCCACCAGCCCCGGCTCGCGGCAGCCAGTCCAGTGCACATGCTGTGCCGGCACACGCTTCTCGTGTCCATCTGGACCGCCTCAAAGATGCCCAGTGAGCACTCTGACGCTGTTGCCGCCAGCGTGTGCTACTGCGGGATGGCCTGCTTCGACCCGCTCTGTAAATATACGGCTTGATCGGGCCCAAGTCACCATGTCTTTTCGAGCTTCACAGGTGTGAGACCATGTCGTGCGTATGTGTCTGTGACTGCGTGCCTCAGCGTTGTACGTAGCGTGAGACAGTAGCTAGGATGCCGCATGTATAACAGACCCGGCTGTCGTGGTGAATCGACGGAGGTCGTTGCATCGGCACCCGATAGGAAGAGAGCATCGGTCTTCTTTCCGAAACGCTTCATTTTAGCGCCAACATTTTGAGACACAATTGCGCAAGCAATGGAAAACAAAAAGAGGAATCACCTCCTCATGCACCCACCGCACCAGCTCACCAGCTTGGAGGCTTTCGACCGTCAATCCTCCAGTGAGGAGCAAGCGTCTCGTGCAAACCGCGGTGATCCTTACCGCTTACGCCTGATTCTCAATGAGCAAGAAGCCGGCGCGGGCTGTAGATGGCTTCATCGGGCGGCGGCTGAGCCCGATCCGACGGCCAGGAACAGGTGAAAGTGCGGCAACACAGCAGAGCGGAGGCCACGAGTCAGAGCCGAGCGGCATGAGCAGCAGGATTCACATTCGCACGTCGAACGCCATAGCCTCCCGAAAGATGGAATGCGCAAGCAGCCGAGAAGATCTGCCAGGCAGCCGGCAGCGCGAACTGCCAAAGCCCCTTGCATACAGAAGCCAGACGGCGCATTTCGCAATTCCGCCGCCCCTACCGTGAATCACGTCAAAATGTCATTCTTCATTCGGAAGAGCCGATGCTGAGATAGCGTGGGAACAGCGACTGTGAGCTCGCTCGGATCGCTCACACGACGACTCAGCGGGCGAGTCTTTTGCCATTTCGCGTGAGCTTACGAGAGGAACAATCATCGTCGCGCAAGCGAAGAATAGGTCCGAGCGTGACTGTTAGCGAAGAGGCAACCTCGACGGGTGGATTCCTTCAACGAATGCGAATCGCGACCACGGCATCTAGTCCTTCGGCTTGCAGAAAGCTACTGCATGTGCCTCGCTGCTGTACTCGAAGCGGTTCAGGGAGCTCGGGATGGACGCTCGGAAGTGCCGCATGCCCAGCTCTCATGCGACGGCTGTGATGCTGGCGACGGACGCAGATGCGCGTCTGTCTCCGAGCCACCGACGCGCAGCGCACATGTGGCATTTCCGCAGGTGCCAATTTTGGAAGTTGACTGGTCAGGTGCAGGCGGCTTCGACAAGGGCCGAGACCAACACTCGCAGGCGTAATGCCCGAGCGGAGCTGCAGCTGTCAACCACCGCTGCACCAGCACACCCAAATGCGCCCTAGTCGCTCGCCTCGTGCCTTTTGCTTGCCTGACCGAGCTGCATACAGCGGTCCCCAGGCTCGGCCTTGCGATGCGTTAAGGCTCAGTGATCTGCGAAGCGCATCCTGGTTTCACGGCTGGAGTGCTTGGCAGCTCTGGCAGTCGACGTATTCGACGCGACGTCGATCCATCTCAGACACTCAGCCGCACGCTTGAGCACCCGAGGCCCACCTCAGCATTGAATCATCGAGCCAGTATGAATTGGGTCCGCACACTAGCCTCCCCTGATGCTCATCTCGAGGATTCTGGCTATGCGAGGTCAAAGTGGCTCTTGCAGCGCGGGGCCGAGCACGACACTGCACTCCGAAGACGAAAGACTGATTTGGACGCTACTGCAACTTAGCGAGCATCTGCAAACGATGCGCGATGCGCATACAGAAGAGGAAGGTGCGACGGCGAGAGGCTCGAGATGCGTTCCTGTCGTGCCGAAGCGGCTGCATCGTCGCTATTTGCCGCTGCGTCGGCGTCCGAGCCGGTCTTGCACACGCTCCCTCCAGCTACTGTACCCTGCACCCAAGGAATGGCCATCGCTCCTCGGCCCTCTCGCCATTTTTGCTTGCGCCAAGCTAGCCTCGGCCGGCGCTGCAGCGCGTTCCCCGCTTCTGCACCTGGGATGAGCCTTGACGTGCGAACAGCTGGCCCTGCCCAGACTGCTGTCGAGCCTTCGATCGGCGCTTGCCCCTCGCCCACTCCTGTTCGGCCTGCCCATCTCAAAGGTCTCCCGCACCCTGCAGGATCAACTGTAGAGGCGTTTGGGCAAGGGTCTCGCCCTCTTGATGCGTGCCTCCTGCTCGTTGCCAGCCGCCTCCCGTGGCGGTTGCGCATTGCAGCTACGAGCACGCCAGATGCCAAGTCTGCTTCCAAGACACTTGGAAGCGAGCCTCGGCCAAAGCCACCGTGCATGCGCCTGATCTGTCACACGCGCATGCCTGGCTCCCTTCGCCAGCATCCGCGTCGCCACACCGCCTTGTTCCTAACGCCGAGCTGAGTGACGAGAGATCGAGAGCCGATCTCGTCGAAACTTTGCACAGTCTCCTTGCAGCCGAACCGGAAGGGCTTCCACGACGAGCTCTCTGCGGGAGTCATATAAGTAATCGCTGACTCACGGTGCTCGCCTTTGCCATCCTTCCTCTTTCCATCCTTGACCCCGCTCCCCTCTCAACCCCGTCTCCGGCTGTCACTCTTTCCAGCCTCTCCCCATCTCCTTTCCCCCTCTCCCCACCACCACCACATTATCCACGATGAAGTTCACCACCACGCTTTCCGCTCTGCTCACGCTCGCCGCTGCTTCAAAGTCCGTCGTCGCTACTGGCGAGTTCCAGAACCTCCAGCTTCGCCAGGGCGGCGATGCCAACGCGCTCCTGCAGGGGCTGCGCGACAACAACCTCACCTCGCTCGCCAACGTGCTCTCGCAGCACCCGGCGGTGACCGAGCGCATCCTCGCCGACAACTCGGAGAAGACGCTGCTGGCGCCTGACGACGATGCGATCGCCAAGCTCCCGTCATGGGTGACGAGCAACTCGACGCGCCTCGAGGCGACGCTCCTCCAGCACGTGCTGCGCGGCAACTTTGAGACGGACAAGCTCAACGCCTACCCGCTGCACACCATCGGCCACTCGCTGCTCAACAACTCGGACTTCTCCAAGCTGCCCGGTGGCGCCGGCCAGGCGGTCGCGCTCGCCAAGTCGGGCAACCGCACCTTTGTTGCCGAGGCCGTCAACAACGACACCTTTGTCCAGCAGAGCGTCAAGGTCGACACCGTCACGGTGCTGCCCATCAGCCAGGCCATCACCGTGCCCGGCTCGGTGACCGACACGCTGCGCTTCCTCGGCTACACGGGTATCTCGACACTGCTCGCCAACGTCCAGAACGGCGCGCTCGCCAACACCATTGACAGCCTCCCCGGTGTCACCATGTTTGTTCCCACCAACGATGCCATCACCAAGTTCACCGCCACCAACCCCAACCCTACCGATATCCCCACGGTTCTGGGCCAGCACGTGGTTGCTGCGCGCGTGGTCTACTCGCCGCTGCTCATCGACCAGGGCTCGCTCATCTCTGCCTCGGGCCAGGACATTGTCTTCGACAACAACGCCGGCACGGTCAAGGTGGGCAACTTTACCGCCAAGATCCTGCAGACCGACATTATCGCACAGCAGGGTGTGATCCACCAGATTGACAACGTGCTCGCGTCGACGGCGCTCGACACGGGACGTGCCGCTCAGGCGCAGAAGTCGGCCGAGGCCTCGGTGGACTCGGAGAAGGCCCAGTCGATCTCGGGCCCCGTATCGGGCAAGAACGCCATCACCACCCAGGGCACCGACGTCCCCGCTGCTCAGCAGGGCTCCGGCGCCAACAACCGCTCGGCCAACGACAACACGGACAATGCAGGTACCGGCCAGACCGAGTCCGCCATCGGCAACGGCACCAACGGCAACAACGGCGGCGCCTCGCAGGCTGGCAACTCCAACGGCTCCAACGGCAACGGCAATGGAAGCGGAAACCAGAACGGCAACGGCGTTGACCACCGCAACCCCAACGCCGCCAGCGCTTCCACGGCCAACACCGCGCTCGCCGCCTCGGCCGTCCTCGCCGCCTCCATCTTTGCGCTCGCTCTCTAGACTTTCTCTCTCTCTCTCCCCCGGCCTCCCATTGCCGCTCCGATTCCCTGGACTGGCTCAACTGTATCCATACCCCCTTCGTCTCCTACTTGCTGGCCCCGCGCGGGCTCAGAGTTGAAATGTTCTCACGTGGTTTTCTTGTGTCCCCTCATTCTTGTGTGGCAGTCGTGAATGTGGCAATGTCGCGACTGCGCTTTGCGACATTACGAAGTGGTTAGACGATGGCCATGGGCTTATCAGTCCGTCTTGCGCTTTGCACGGAGCGCGTACGGCTGGGAAGGTGAGGAGGTGGCGGGGAGGAAACGGTCGACCGTGCAGAGTGCGGCGGTGAGCGCCCTGTCCAGCACGCGCTCGAGCGGTCTTGCCAGTGGAACCGACAGCGTCTTTGCTTGGAACGGCGCTAGGACTAGGCTCATCAGTGGCCGCGCTTGGGTCGGCGGCGTCCTGACGCAGCTCTCATGCGGCAAGTGCGAGCTCAGCAGAGTCGCCGAGCCAATATGGTCGAGCTCACTATCCATGCGCGAAGCCAGCGCGTGCCACTCCCCACCGTCCACCCCGCTCGTGCGCCGTGTCGAACCTCGCACTGCGGGCAGCAATCGCAGTGCATCCGTTGGACGCAGTCGAAGGAATGAGCCCGCCAAGCTTGGCAGCGCCCAAACTGCTGCAACGAGCCCATGGCATTCGACGTGGATGGCCAGCTCCCAATTGACCGCCACACGACGATTCCAGTTGTCCTGCCAAAGAGCGCTCCTTTCGAAACAGCAAAAGATAAAGGTAGGCGGCGCGTCATCAGACAAGTGTTGCATGTCAGTTTCGTCGATTGCGGCAACAAGGGATGGCGCAGGCGGGGAGTCGCACCGGCAAGACTATGCCTGCGGGGAAGGGAAGATTCACCTACCCCACCATAGATCGCTTTCGCCCGCGCAATCGTACTATATAACATGCAGACCACGACACGAACAAAGAAAATGGTCAGCGTCGCTGGGTTCATACACGAAGTGCTGCAGAGACCAGTCTTTGGACTTACCTTCCTCGAGCTTCCTTCGAGTCTCTTCCCACTTGCTGAGCTTTCCGCCCCTGCCGCGATTCTTGCCCGAAGACCTTGCCGTCACCTCCTCGGCATAGCTGTCGAGGATGGTTTGGTAAAGTCCTTCGGAAGCCGGATGCGTCGAGGCGAAGGCGCGCTCGAGTACATACAGGTCAACCGCCTTGTCTTCTGCAAACGCAGACACGGACGAAAGACCGAAATCGAACAAGACCACCTCGTCCTTGTCCAGGTCGACCTGGGCGGCACTCTCGGCAGAACCCGATGCGGCTGCGGGGCGGAGCATCATGTTGGAAGTGGTGAGGTCACCGTGGATGATGTCAGCCTCGTGCATGACAGCAAGCTGTCGACCAATGAGCCTCATCAGCTTGAGCTGCTCTGCCTCTGAGAGGACCTCGTCGTCATCCACAGCGGCAGCGTCGGTGTCGTTGGCCTCCACAATTTCTTCGTCTTCGCCCTCCGCGCCTCCTCCGAGCCATTCGCGCACGCTCTTACCCGCGATGAGCTCGAGACCGAGGATGCCTTCCTTCTCGTCGACGCATCGCACGGCAGGTACAGCCACGCCGGCCTTGGCACAACGTAGCAGCGCCCTTGCCTCCATGATGGTGCGCGAGGCTGTGATGCTGTTTGACAGCGTAGGATGTCGATAGGTCTTGGGGAAGCGCCATTTGAGCAAGACTGGCTGAGGAGCGTTAGCGTTGGGCGCTGTCGACGAGGCGGAGCGGGGCTGCGGCCACGTGGGGATGTTGTTGCCGGTAATGCGGGAAATGTACACCTTGGCCTCGGCGCCTTGCTTGATCAAGTGGGACACCTTAGAGTCGGACAGGAGTGCGACCAGAGGCGGGGCGTTAGGGATGGGTTTGGATACCGTCTTGACCTGGCTTGAGCCCGCGACCTTTGCATCTACGGTGCGCATCACATCACGCGAGCCACGCCTCGAGGTAGGCTGAGAGCTGCCATCGACGGAGCTGCGAGTATCACTGGCGCTCTTGGTTTTGTCTTCCTTGGGCTTGTCCGTGGAAAGAAGGTCGAGGGGGTTGCTAGTTGTAGGTGTCGCTGCCGATCGAGTGGTGGTGGTTTGCAGCAGGGATGGAAGCTTGGGCCGTGCTCCTTCCATGCTCGATCGGGAAGTGCTCGAAGATGTTCGCGAGCGATGCGATTTTGCAGCAGCAGCAGCGTCTTTGGCTTGCGCCGAGGCGAGCCGGTCGGCCGCAGTCTGGGTATGCTTGTGGGGCGAGCCACCTGCTGAGATTGTGGACGATGCAGGGGATGTGGACAAGATCGCCTCGGTACTGGCCTCAACGGACGGCGCCGTAGTGTCGACGATCGACGTAGGCCGTGATCTCGGGGTTGGGAACGCCACCCTGGGTGTCCGGGACGACGAGGGACCGTCTCCTCGCTGTGTAGGCTTCGACATGATTACGCCAGCCTCGAATTAGCTGCGAGTCAATCAGAGCTTCGATGGTGGCTTTCGCGGACTTATTTGCTCTGGACTGTCAAAGAGGAGTATCAGCAGGAAGGGATGACGAGGGGGCAGAGACGCTGTTATCGGTGAGATAGGGAGTTGGTCACGAAGCAAGGTAGCGATCGCTTCGAGGCCAGTCTTCGCATCAGGCTGAGGCTCTTCTTGCTCATCCAAGCTGCCCTGCGATCCCTGGCTAAAAAAAGATCCAACGAACTCCACATCCAAATCTAACAAAATTCAACTTTCAAAAATGTTCGCAGGAGGGTTCGGCATGCTTGGCTTTGCACCGACCCGATAAGGCTCACCGCCTTGTCCTCCGGTCAAGACACGCACGCCTCAGGACACTCTCGCTCAATGCACGCCACTACGTCGAGAGATATGAGCTTCCGACAGCGACGTCGATGATGCAGTGATCCATTCTACGATCTTCATCTTCTAGAGCTTGAGACGGGCAGAGTTGTCAACCTGTCGTACGACGATCACAGAGAGAGAAAAGACGAATGCGGAAAGGCAGAAGGAGGCGATGTGAGGTCAGCGACATGTCGGAGCTCGAGCAAGGCGGCCAACGATCCACTCTGAGAGCGCTTCAGCCTCATCGGAGCCTAGGCTGAAAGGCCTACTTACCTTGGTGTGCGTGCCGCTAATGGTCTTCTTGGTGCGCTTCCACTTGCCCTCGTGGACGGGACCTTCACCGTCGTCTTCCTGACCATCCGCCCTCTCTACAAGCCAAAAGTCGGCGGCGATCAACGCGATGGTTTTGCCGACCGAGGCGGTGTAGACCTCCATCTCGATGACCGAGTTGACCGGACAGGCATTGAGGTAGAAGACGTTGATGTTTTGCGAGACACCCAGGAACGACCATGGCGAGCCAGCCACGCCCGAAGTATGGTAGTATATCGCCATAGAGGTCACGCAGTCGACGAGTGTGGCTCCGCATCCACCGTGCATGTTGCCCAGGTTGTTGTTCAGCCTCTCGGGCACGCGCATGCGCAGCACGAGGCGTGCATGGATATCGTTTCGCACTGGCGTTGGTGCGGTGGCCTTCCCCGCCGTCTTCATCGTAAGCCTGACCGTTTCCTGCGAATCATCGACGTCCGCCGCCTCGCTCACAAGCTCGCCGTTCTCGTCCAGACCGGTACGCTCGATCGAGATGATTGTCACCGTCGAATCAACCGCCGAGCTCGAGTAGCCGGGGCTCTCGACGAGGTGCCTCGTCATGTCCACCGCATCCTGCGTCGCCTCTTGCAGATTCTTTGGCAATGGTGCTGGCATGTTGTATAGTGAGCGCGCTACGTTGTTGGTGGTGGGAGGGATCCAAGGTGTTGGGACTTGCACAGAGCTCGGCTATCCAGCAGGACTGTATTCCTCGTGTCCTAGCTGCACCGGTCCCAAAGCCGATGTCAACCGGAATGCCCGAATCCGGTTCCCCACATCACAACGCGCTCAGCTTCGCAGCCTCTCCGCATCTCTCAGCGGAGGTCTGCCGTGTGAAAAATGCACGAGCGAGCTTTCCTCGCCGGGGCGCATCCGCTGAAAAAAAAAAGAGAGGTCGACTTTATCATTGTTAGAGCTTGTGCACATAGGAGCATGTTTGACTGTGATGCTCAGGGTTGCCTATGCCACACTCCATCGGCCTCCGGCTGCTTGGCCACTGGCTACGTAGCCGGCGACGGAGACGATGACGTCCAGGATCTGGCGCGTTTGCTCCCAGAACGTCTCGTCCTCCGACGCATCTTTGCGTGTCCACAGCCTTTCGACCCGGTCGAGTCGCAGAGCGATCTCCTCCCGAGAGGTCTGGTCGCCCACATGATGGTGGAGCCGCAGCAAGAAATAGAGAATGCGCGTCTGCAGTCCGAGGCATTCGGCAGCGTCGGCGTCCTGTTCCGCCCTTGCAAGCCACAAAAGCACCTTCTCTAGATCCTCGCTGCTCGACTTGTCCGAGCACGAGAGCAGGATGCGTGCGTATGTCCATTGCGCGCGCGCTCGCAGCTCGGCATCCTCGGTGGCCAAACAAGCGGGCAGATCAGTCTCCACCAGCGACCGTGTTCTGTCTGCCATCTGAAGGTGGAGTCCAAGCGTCTCGGCCAGGTGGACTCGGGCTCCAAGCACCAGGCGCTGACAGTCCATCTCTTTGGCGATCGAGAGGCATGCCAACGTGGGCATCAAGGCCAGTGACGGCTGCTCGCTCTCGGTCCTTGTGGTCGCCTTGCGCAGCAACGCTTCGGCTGCCTCTTCTGCCGTCAGCTGGCTGAATCCTTTGAAGCGTCGACCGAAAGCCTTGTCCATCTCGCTCGAGCTTCCTGTATCGAGATAGCGCAGCGCAAGCTCCACCAGATTGCTCGGCGACTCGACAGCATCTTCAATGTCGCACCCAGCTTGCGCGCGCTCGGGCAAGGGCAAGGCATCCGCCAAGACTCGCAGGGCCGCTTCGTCCTCCCTTCTCTCTGCCCTCAAGCGCAGGATCTCGCCGATGGTCGTGTGCCAAGTTGTATAGTGGCTGAACGAAATGCCCCGGTAGGTTGCCGGCGAGATGAGCAGCGCCAGTGCCTGTTCATAGCGACCTGCGCGCGAGAGGTATTTCGCCCTGCCGCAGATGGAATCGATGCGTGTCTCTTGCTGCAGCTGCGATGTAGCTCGACCGTCCAAGTCAGGCTCCGCTCGCCCATGATACACCTTTGCGAGCGCCGGAGCCCCGAGGAAATCCCACAGACGTGCAACTTCGGCATCTTGCGCGACGGTATCCCGGCCCAGGCGTCGCTTCGCATCATCCATCAGCTCCAAAGAAGCTTCGGAAGCTGCCAAGGTATCCCGAGATGGTTGTGCCGGTGCAAAAGCCTCTTCGAGGTCGTGCAGCACCTCGAGTGCCGATCTTCCTTTTCCAGTCTCGCACCGTGCCTTCCAGACCGCATCCGAGGCTGGCTGACGGTGGTTTGGGCGTGGCGGTATGTGGGCGGTGCCAGGAACGGCCGCAAGCACACTTGTGCCAACGCCCTGGATGCGGAGCATGAGGCTCTCGCATGCTCCGATGCAGTCGTGGTCGTTGGCAGAGCGGGCTAGGCTGATGGCCTCTTCAAGCGCTGCTCGAGCTGCCGAAAAGCTGCCGGTCCTGACGTGGAAGGTAGCTAGGTGCAGCAGGGTGTGTTGATGCAGCTCACGGTCGGCGCCCGGAGCATAAAAGTCGAAAAACTTCTCCATGTTGTCCTTTGCCGTCATGTAGTCGCCGCGAAGCAGCCCGAGCTGGTAGTCGCGGAAGGCACAAAGCCTGGCATCAGCGAGCTGGTACGAGTCCAAGTCAAAGCGATCAGAGTTTGGCATCGTGAGGGTGCTGCTCTCTCTCCATGCCCGTGCCGACGACATGAGTTCGTCTCGCGCTTGCAGGTCGAGACTGTCAAAGATTAGCTTTGTCCGGCGGAAGAAGAGGCCGAAGAAGGATCGGCGCTCGAAGAAAATATCGGTGGCATTGAGCATGCCTGTTGCCTCGTAGTTTGGAAGAATTCGATTGAGCTTCTCATTGAAGAGCTTGGTGAGACCGTCGGGTACGTTGAGAAGATGAAGCATGCCATCTAGATAGTCGACCACGATGCGGCAGTCATCCTCGTCTGGTTGCATGGCTATGCGGACCTCTTCCACAAACGCAGCATAAGAAGGCGCCGGAGATCGTGTCTGGTATAGCTTGTCCATGAGGAAGAGCAGCAGCTTCTTGCGTGCAACATGCGCATCGTCGTTCAGCTGGACCCTGCAGTGGAAGTTGAAGAGGACGAGAATGGCGATGGTCTCGCCATTCATCTCATCCGGTGGTGCGGAGGGGACGTCCATATTGGCGCTGTGATCGCCTGACCGAGGCTAGCGGCGACCGTGAGCGTCAGTCGAAGGGACAGGTGGTGGTGTGGCTCCAATTAAAAGAACAACACCTGGCCGCTGGAATGCGCAGAAGACTCACCGGAGTCGGAACGCGTCCTTGCCCGCCTGTTCGCGTTGCGGGGCCTGCAGGCTGGGTCGGACCGAACAGGAGAAAAATGCAACTGCACACCGCCGTGAGCCCACGCCTCCACCTTTGCAGGCTTATGAAGGCGAGCCCAAGGTTCGATTTCGGAACTCGGGCTGCGCGCCGAACAGCTGCAAGAGCGCTGTCGCCGTCCCCTTCCGAAATAACTTTTCGGTCTTTCGAGCCTGGACTCTCTTCCATACCGTTCTGCCACCCATCGATACCATCTCGCTTCACTCTCTCACATCGAACACATCAAAATGGCTTTCTCCGAGGACACCAAGGTGCGTAGATCAGTCATCTGACGTTCCTCGAGTCGATGCTCAGTACTTTGCGGTCGGGCGTAGCATCTGCTCGTCCACTCAGCCAAGTGCCTACAGACTCTCCTGGCTGCGCCTTGCTTGTCCGGCAGGACTCTTTGCTGACCCGCTACATTGTTGTATCGACCTGCAGGAGCGAATCGTCAAGGCTGTCGACGTCTCCAAGACCTTGCTCCACTATGGCTGGTAAGTCGATGCTGCTCGAGTACCCGCCAGGCCGCTTTGAACAAGTGACTGATCTTCTCTTCGCTGCATCCGAACTGTCTCGATCGTCTGCACAGGGTTCCCTTCGTTCTGTACATCGGATTCACCCGAAGCACGCCTCAGCCAAGCCTGATCAAGTGAGTTGCCCCTCAAAGCGCCCCAGATTGCTCAGGACACCGAGACCATCTCGGCGAATCGCTTCGCTGCGTCGGGCCGCTGCCGATTATCGGATGTGTTCCGAACGCTGACACGCTTCAACTTGCTCTGTACCTTCACTCTACAGGCTCATCAGCCCTCTCGCATAAAAAGGGTCGACATCTCCAATCGGCTCCTCCGAAAGCCGACCGGCTGCAAAGAACCCCTGCCCGTCGCTCCTGGGGCGGCACTGCATCTCTGTACGATAACTGTCCATCCATAATCACATCCGGTCGGGCATCGCCACCGCTTCCCTCATCTGCCTGAAGAATCTGTTGCAAGGGCCTCATCACAGGCCCCGTCCTGATCTGCAGCCGAGCCCGCGCCGAGCATTTATACTCACGCTTCTGCCTCGTAGCTCCTTCGTCTCCTCCCACTTGGGCTTCCTCCTCGTCAGCCTCTATCTCCTCCCCCTGATCCACTTCCTCGGGCCAAAAGTATTCTGTCAACTGTCGCTCACTTTCCTCACCAGCCTCATCCTTGCCCAGAGGTTCAAAGGCAGGTGTCCGTCTGTCCACCTCCAAGGCGCCTTCTTACCGACCTACTGCCTCTCTTCACAATCCCACATCGTCATGAGTCGGTTGAGCAGCCACGCAGCGCGACCCGGCCCGAAGCGCAGGCTAGGAGCTAGTCTTTCTGCGAATCCCGCATCGCATACGTTAACGAGCTCTACTGGTCAGGCAGCCTCTCCAACACGCCCGTTTCCGAACAACAATCCTACTTCAAGTGCATTTCATTCAAATGCAGGACATAGTCCGCAACGCTGGCCTACAATCTTGCCTCAAGCTCAACAAGAAAGTCAGAACGAGTGGGCCGTATCGGACGCCGCAGCCAATCACAGAACCATGGCGATGGAGTCCAACGGGCCCAGAGGCGACATCAGACAATTCGAGTACGCCGCTTCACCGTCACGGCCTACTTCTAATGGTCGCGATCCAGGGCCGACATCCCAGATGTGGGCAGCTCGAGACGCTCCGATTGTCTTGAGCTCGAGCCAAGTCGGATCTCCTCACCCAGAGCAGGGATTCTCACGCTCGCGACCCAACACTCATACTGGAGAAGCAAGCCAGCGGCACCCGTCTCGCTCCATATCTCCCTTCGTTGCGCCTCCCAGGACAGCACCAGGCTCGATGCCCAGGCCTCATTCTTCTACCTCGCTCCCTACAAAGACGATGACCACGCACGATCCACTAGAGACGCACATGCGCGCTTGGCTCACTCGCGTCGAGCAATCCCAGTCCGAGGTCCTTGCTACCGTGCAACGACTCTCACAGGCTCAAGAGGTCTTGGCATCGGAGCAAAGAGAGCTGGCAAAGAGCTGCTCGACTCTGAAGGAGTCTCATGAGGAGTCGGCTCGTACAGCCACCAATCAACTCGGTGAGTCGATCTTCCCGAGCTCACGAAGCTGTGAAGCTGTCGTGCATGCCGTTTGCTGACTTAAACTGTGCATCCATTCTCGCCTCGTTACGACCTCTCACCACAACGCATTGTCCTTTCCGCTTTCTAGCTGAGCTTCATCGTCAATCTGAAGCAAAAACTGCAGAGCTGCTGCAGGAGGCCTTGCGGGATCATTCCGCAGACTATGCGAAGCGGCAGGTCAAGACGATTCACGACGTATCCACACGCATCGAGGAAGCCATGTCTCGGACCCACGCCGTCACTCAGGCACAATTGAACAACGTAAGCTCATCCGCGTCCCGATGTGTGTCATCAGCGACCTTCTCATATGTTGACCGTTGGCGACAGCTACACTTTATGCCGTATCCCACTTCCATATGCAGATTCGTTCCTCGCTAGAGAGTGTTCAATCCTTCTTTTCCGAAGAGATGAACAAAGTCAGGGCTGAGCAGAGGGAGATCGCCCGCCAGGAGCGACGAGCTTTTTACGCCGAGTTTGCGGACATGCGGCATCTCCTCGCCGATTTGCAAACGAGGGCAAGTGGGGCTGTTGTCGCCGCAGCTCGCAGTACTTCTGGAGTCGTATCACCAGCGACAAGGTCGGACACACCCGAAGAGTTCGAGACGGTCCGGCTGATTGCGAACAAGAAGAACAAGGCAAAAGGCACGGAATCGCAGTCGACCCGAGAGCGTGTCGTTACTCGGTCCAGGAGCGGCTCAACGCTAAGCCTTGGGCCTTGCGGTCAGGTCGTCAATCCAGAGGCCCAACAACATCGTCAAGAAACTCCGCAGACAGTGGCAGCGACTGCTTCTTCGCCAGTGCAGGAGCCTACACGTGCTCTCGAGAATGAGGTGACGCTTGTCGACGAGCATCGATCTCGCCGAGAATCTCCCCGCCCTTCTCGAACGGGCGACGAGGATCCTCACAGCAAAGCGCAGAAGCGGAAGGAGCGACCCGGACAGAGATATGGCGGAGCTTCCAAGCGGCAGCGGCGTGCTGCTCAGGTCGATGAGACGGAGCAAGGAGGCCCTTCGTCGCCCGCAGCTTCATCCTCGCGCGATGCACTCGCGTCCGTTGACATCGTTCAGGAGCAAGAACCAGAGCAAGACGAGCTTCCGCCTTCGTCTCCTCCGCAGCCGTCTGCGCGATCTCGAAAGAAGCGCTCGTCGAAATCAAGCTCGAGCTCTAAGTCGGGGTCGCGCAAGAACCAGAAACAGGAGCCACGCGGACGCGCACGCACCCGATCGCGTGGCTCCCCCCCCCCCCCC